CAGTTTGATTAGAACATCTGAATTATATTGGATTAATTTTTCAAATCAAATGAGTTATTCAAATTTAATTTTATCTGTTTCTCATAAGTTCATGGCCACCATATGAAAGCCATTGTTTGCATTGTTCCTGCTATTTTCTACATTGCCTTACTTTTGTACAGTTTTTTCTGATGAATTCATGAAAAGTATAAAAGCTTGAATATAATTTTGCAATCCTAATTAATATGTTTAAAAATGGACCTATGAAGCTTATTTTAATTTTATTAAAAAGTGAATCCAATGAAAAAAATAAATAAAATTGAGTTTTGACATGGGTCAGTGCAAAATAAGTTTATTTTATCTCTTCATTTATTAGATTTTTATTCCAACCTTATTACTTTATAAATAACTGATAGGGCAGTGAACATACTTAATACGTCTTTCTCTCCCTCTTTTTCCTCACAAAACAACCCTGTGAGGTAGACTGGCTGAGAGGGTATGATGCCCAAAGACACCCAGCCACTATGTATGTATGTATGTATGTATGTATGTATGTATGTATGTATGTATGTATGTATGTATGTATGTATATTTGTTTGTTCGTTTGTTCGTTTGTTCGTTCATTTGTTCGTTTGTTCGTTTGGTTATTTGGTTATTTGTTGTCAAGTACAAGGAAACAAGTATGAAAACACATGAATAAATGGTACAAATAAATGGATAAAAATAAGTAAAGCATAGCCATAAACACATANGGCAACGCCCATCATGGCTTGAGACTTGAGGATTGAGGATTCCGCAGCTGGAGTTCTGTGGGGCACCTTGGAGAATCGAAGTGAGCTCCAGTTCTGAGGCGGCTCATTAGGGCTGTCAGTTGCCGGGTGCAAGTAGAAATGGGTTGTTGTTGTTGTTGTTTTAAGTCAAATTAAATGAAGTTCAGATGTAGACCAGTGGTGGGATTAATGATTTTTTATTACTGGTTCTGTGGGCATGGCTTGGTGCGCGTGGCATGGGAAGGATGCTGCAAAATCTCCACTCCCTCCCCACTCCAGGGGAAGGTTACTGCAAAATCCCATTTCCTCCCGATCAGCTGGGACTTGGGAGGCAGAGAATAGATGGGGGCGGGGCCAGTCAGAAGTGGCATTTACCGGTTCTCCAAAGTACTCAAAATTTCCGCTACCAATTCTCCAGAAGTGGTCAGAACCTGCTGAATACCACCTCTGATGTAGACCAAATGAATGCATCTCTGCTTGTGTACCCGTGTGGACCTATAATCTGAGTCCTCAGCTTCCATCAGTCAGTCCTTGGGATGTTGGTCATTGTAGTTTGACGAGACTGGGGGAGGCGATATTTAGGAAAATGAGAGGCGGATTGGCTTTAAGGCTATTCCCCAGCAGACAAGGAAACCTCCAGCTGCGTTTCCTTCTCCTCCCGGACGCTTGCCACCGGAGCTCAGTTTTCAACCACCTAAAGAAGCGAATAGGGGGAGGGGCCACAGTTTCTTGGCACCCCCGCCCCCAACCCCTCCGCCCCCGGGTCCGCCCTTCCCCAAACTTGCGCACCTAAGTCAACACAGCCCTACCTGCTCCAGGCACGGGCGGGCTCGGGCTGGGCCACCAGCTGCAGAAGCCATCGCGTTAGGCTCCGGCTGGGCGAGATCAAAAGCGGTCGGCTGGAAGAGGTCAAGCGGCCCGGGGCTTAATCCTCCGGCGGGGAACGCCACTTTGCATCCAAAGTCCCCGGTTTGTGGAAAAGCCGGTCGGGAGCTGATCTTGAGTTCCTTCCATGCCTTCTCTTTGCTGTTTAAGGGCTGGGACGCCGCTCACGATCGACCTGCGGTATAAAAAGATTTGGAAGGTAGCCGGAAATTATGGAAACCTGCCGGGCGGATCCACAAAGGTGGGTGCTTGATTAGGTGAGTTTCCTAATAGGAAGACAGACTTTTGCTCTGCTCTGACTCCTTTTGTCCGATATCCCAATCAACCGGGTTTCCCACTCCGCTGAGCCTTATTCATCTGGGGGAAAAGTTTCCATACCTTTGAATCCAAAGACTGGGCCACCGGTGAATGCACCTGCCAAATCAAGGTTTCTTGCCATCCTTCATGGGACCTCACAGCAGCGCTTTTTCTGAGGCAAAGAAGGCAGGATGTCAATCAATGTGATTTTAAAGAAATTAAATGAAGGCAATTAATTTTATTTAATTTTTATGCCACCCATCACATTAATATGGCGACTTTGGGGGCACTAATTAAATCATTAATTAATGGTATTTACTTATACTTATGCATACTTCATAGTTTAATAAATTAGTTAAATTAACCATTACACAGAGTGAATGGGATAGGTTCCGAAAAAAATAATGGAATCATTTTAGTTTAATAGCATTCCTTTATACCACAATAGGACACCAACTTTAACCTATCTGAGTCTCACCAAAAGCTTTGAGATTGGGGTCCTGGAAACTTGGCGGTAGGAAAAAAAAAGATTACAAAGATTATAATTCCTATTCCTTATGGGAATGAATTCATCATATCCTCTTCCGGATATGACATATAAAGAAATTGCAATCTCTTCAGATTGAGGGGCTCATAAATCTGTGTTTGGATCAGGAATGCTTTTCTTAGCCTTCCAAGTGCAGATTCGGGAGATTGCTTCAACATATAAACAGACCCCACCATCCTCAGACAGGGCAGTTTCTCCATCAAGAGTAATTTAGACTTCACCCAATAACTAGGTTGGATTACACAATTATTCGGTGCAGCGACCTAGAGTAATATTCTGATATTATTGTCCATAAATTAGTTCGGTTCGCCCGCCCATTTTATTTGATGCTTTGTCTATAGTCGTGGCTAGGTATCAAACGCGGACAAGCAGCAGATTCAGCTCCAGCTCAAAGCCTCCGAGAGCCCTGAGGAAAACTGCTGGCTTCTCCTGTACTCTTTCTCCCTTAAGGTAAAGGTAAATGTTCCCCTTGCACATATGTGCTAGTTGTTCCCAACTCCAGGGGACGGTGCTCATCTCCCTCTCTTAAGCCAAAGAGCCAGCGCTGTCAGAAGATGTCTCCGTGGTCATGTGGCCGGCAAGGCTAAATGCCGAAGGGACAGGGAATGCTATTACTTTCCCACCAAAGGTGATCCCAATTTCCTACTTGCATTTTTTACGTGCTTTCAAACTGCTAGGTTGGCAGAAGCTGGGGCAAGTAACGGGAGCTCACTTTTTTTGATTGACAAGCTCGGCGTCTTAGCTACTGAGCCACCGCGTCCCTCCCTTTCTCCCCTTCCCCACTCCTAAAGTGGAAGACAGTTGGAAGCCTTCCAGGGATGAGGAACCTGCCTCCCTCTGTCCCCCTCCTCTTCAGCGGAAATACAAGGTCCAGGATTCCCCTGTCTTGATGCTATTGTTCAGTTGTTCTCTCCATCCCCATCGCCCAAAAGAAGATTCAAGAGCCCTTCGAAGAAAGTGCAACAGAGAAAGTCCAGAATCCCTTTACAAGACCTCCGCACCTGTAGGAAGTGCAGGGGGAAAAAACCCGAGTGAAAGTCAGACTTCTCTCTCTCCAGCTCCAGCCTCTCGGTTTTGTGTTTCCACCACCATTTGTGTGGTCTTTGGCTTTAGACTCGAATAAAAATTGACACTGAATACAAACTCGGTCATTTCAAACCCAACCCGGGTTTTCTTCGGCTGCAGTCACGGCCCCCCAGTCGCGGGGGTTGGTTGGGTGATGGTGGTGTAGCAATAGCACTTAGAGTTATAGACCGCTTTATAGTGCTTTACAGCAGTGGTTCCCAAACTTGGCAACTTTAAGACTTGTGGACTTCAACTCCCAGAATTCTCCAGCCAGCAGAGCTCTGCTGGGAGTTGAAGTCCACAAGTCTTAAAGTTGCCAAGTTTGGGAACCACTGCTTTACAGTCCTCTCTAAGCGGTTTACGGTCAGCATATTGCCTCCAACAATCTGGGGGCAATCGTGTAGAAGAGGGAGAGAGAAATGAACAAAACATTAGTTTCCTCCTTAATGAGAAACCTGGAAGTCCCTCTTATTCCAAACAATTTCTCACGTTACCCTGTTTTGCTAACGAGGGCGGAGGAGGGGAACTAAACGCCGTTTGGTACGGCTAAAATATCACACCCGGAGAGAGGGAGAAGGTGGGGGAGGGGTTTCGAATTTCTTTCTTTCTTTTAAATAGTTTTTATTAAACATTTTTACCTTTAAGAACAGAAAAAAAAACAAAAAAGACAAACATAACTATATAAACTACTTATACAGCCTTCTGTATCAGCATTCATGTTTAGCCTTTGTAGTTCTCTATTCTCCATTGCCTTCCTATCAATTTTAACTTCTTTAATAGTGTAATAAAAGTAGTACTA